TTGGTTTGGGGGGGGGGGCATGGTTTGGTTTGGTTTGGTTTAGTTTTTGTTTGTTTGTTTTTGCAGTGCCAAGATTTTTGCGTTCAAAATTCTTAGCAGTCAAGAGTTATCGCAACACAAAGTGCTGAAGCTGCTGAGTTTAAAAGGCAATTTCTTCTTGCTGTGATTGCTTTTGAAAGAGGTCATTTGAAAGGGATGGGTTGACCTGCATATTCTTCATTAAAAAACATTCAAAGTTGCAACTCAGTCTTCAGTGTGCAGTTACCTGAATTTATTTGTTCTGAGAAAACTATGAGTGCCCTGTATTTGTTTGGCGGACATTTGAGGAGTCTTGCAAGGTCAAATGGGATATTTTTATACTTTTTTTTTCTGGTGAGTGGCCAGGTGCTGGAGAGAGTAGGGTAAAGCAGGAATTGACTCCTGCTTTGTTTTGTGCACTTGATGTCCATCTGTGTCACTGAAGTCAGAGCATCTATACTAGCTTTAACCGGTATGCAGTGTTTTAACTGAAGAAAAGAGCATCTTCAGTCTTGCATAGATGTTATTTTAACAATTAATCTCCTGTATTTTCCTCAGAAGTATCTTCTTGGGTTGTTTTGGTTGTCAGCTTTGTTATGTACTTATTCTATGCATTTGCCAGTGATACTTGGAGCTGATGAGGCAAATTTTTTTAAACAGTTCATTTGTTACAGTAGATACGTTTTGCATCTTATTCAAACCAGGTAAGTAGTTGATGGTAGGCTGTAAGAGAAGATCGAGCTCTGAGTGCTTTCTGTCAGTGAAACACTTGAATACTTTAGTCCTGAAAGATCAGTATGGGAGCCATATTCAACAAAGCCGTTTGTGGTGGGATGGTAGGAGGATTGGTCTCCAGGGATATCTGACGTGTGGAATAACTTCTGTGTATTCTGTTGTGAATAGAGTAACTTTCCATTGCTATGAGAAATAACTCTAACATTAAAATTACAATAGGTGCACATGTATAATTTATACTGAAATAAGGAATTTGACTGTTTGTGATTATGGATTATTGCTGTACAAGAATAGCCTCGAGTGATAGGCCAGATCATTTAAATCTTTTCTTCATAGTAGAATAAAAAAGGGTCATAATATTATCCAGATATGCTGTTATTGAAGCACGTATTGGAATTTAGATGATAAAAACTCCTAACTTCTCAATTGACATCTTCCAGTACTGTAGGCAGCTTAAAGTTTCACCAAGACAGGGTTTAATTACTTTTATCTCTGGGGTACATGTTCTCTTACCCAAAGCACAGACACTCCATAGAACTGCAGACCTTTACTGCAATCCATTGATTTACAAAGCCTCAGCTTTGTTTCCTGCACTGTCTCTAGTCCATTCCCTCTGTGCTGATGAAGGGAGGGAGCCTTGAACATAGCACTTACCGAGTAGGAATAGAGAGTGGGGCTGAGGGAGCAGGATAACATGAGACAGATTTAATATTGTCTATGAGACAATGCTGCCTAATATCAGTGCTTAGTCATTTGGTATTATATGCACTTAAAGTGATGATGCCGCTGTGCATTGTTCATCATTAATAAGCTTACCCTTTGTAGGTGAATGTGCCTGTAGTTGTATAATAACATGTATCTGATGGGTATTAAAATAGCAAGTTAGGTTGGCAAACTGTAAAACTGTTTTTAAAAATTAAGGAACAACTCTGAATGTTTTGAAGGGAAATGGTTATTAAGAAATTATTTTATAATAATAGGAATATTTTTGCTATGAATGAAGGCAATTCCTTTTGTGTAACTGCAAAATCTCCCAGCATGTTTGACAGTGTAGGAGATAATCTTTCCTTTCTTGTCCCCTTAAAGTAGAGTAAATTATTCCCTGTGCTATGCTGCTGTAAAATGAACATGTTAAAGAGAGTCAATACACATGATTCTGGTGCGTTTTGGGTAGTCAGATGTTCATTTTTCTCTTTTCCCAAGTGTAATTTCCATGTGTTTCCAAATAGTGGAAGTGTCAAAGTCATAGAGCACACAAATCTGTGCCACCTGTCACTCCTCCTCCTGAAGCCATGTAGATCATCTTTCTCTGCCAGCTCTACCAAACATACTCTTCTCTGCAGATCTGAGAGGAGACAGAGTACCTTACAGTCGGTAATTTTTTTGTGTGTGTGAAAGTATATCTTTATACAGCTTAAAAATTTTCTTCAGCTTTTGTTCTGCAACTTTTTAAAAGCATTTAAATACTGTTTGGACGGTGACAGATTGTTCTTTCAAGAAAAGTCATAAATTCTAGCCATTCTTGAAAGGTGGTGTTAAATTCTGAAACAAGGAAGCTTTCTCAAACTGAGTTTGAATTGCTGCTCTGAATCAGTAATTTCGTTGAAGAATACTAACTGTTCATGCTAGCTGAAATAGCATGAACATACTACACTCAAGATTAGGTCAAGAGAGGTTTTTCAGTAATAGCAGCTGAGGCATATCTTGCACTTCTTGGACTGTGTATTTCCTTGTTTCTCAAGGAGTACTTGGAGAAATTGAAATATTATGGTAACTTGTATTAATTTGATGTTAGGTGCATTTTAAATTGAAAAAGACCTGGCAAATTTGATTCTCCAGTAGTTCTTTCTAGATACAAATGCAATTAAACCCCAGTCCTTTTCATAGTAAAATGAAGTACTAAATCTAAAACTTTGGTTTCTCATCGGCAGTGAGACATAATTTAGGCTTAGGTTAGTTGCTGTCATTTCCACACTATTCAAGAAAATCTTTTTAATATCCTTTTTCGATCTTAAAAAAAACAACCTCACAACCTTAAACCTTGTGGCCATTTTTATCAAATACATAAAGCCAATACAAAAAGAAATACTTCTTATTTTTACAATGTCACTTCAGTGATATTTATGAACTCAAATATGTATTGTGGAAATACTGAAGAGAAGCTTCTGGCTTAAATTTAGAAACTGTAAGTATAGATGCAAAAAACGGATACTTGAACAGGGACTACAGTGATGCAGTGAAATAATGCTGAAGAGGAGTGGAGAATGTAGAAGGATATTGAAGTTCCTTTTTGTTTATAGCAGTTCCATGAAGGGAAAAAATGGGTAGAATTTTAATTAGAGCTAAACAGAGCTGGACTAATTTTAGCACAATCTATTACCATGTATGTATGCATATGACTCTGTATTATAACTACTGTCAGCTGACACAGTGCACCTCTTCCTAGTTCCTTAGGACTCATTGCAGTGTGGTATAAATAACACTGTAGAAAAATACGCTCTCAATCACTTTCCAGATGTACTTCTTACATCTAGGAGTATGAGAAATTTGATTCCCTCCCAAAGAGGGAATTGAGTGTTTTGGTTCACTGCAGCACTTCTGGAGAAGAGTGCTGTGCCAGTGCCCATTGTGGCCTGTGCAGTATAGCACCAATGCTTGTGCACCAGCTTTAATTCATCCATAGGTATCTACTCTCCTGCTTGGTTTTGTGGGGCACTGACGATGCTCAAGCTGGAGAACACTCCAGTGAGTGGTAACTGCAGCATGGTCCAGGGCTATGTTCTTCTTATATATTTGAAAAACATACCGTGTCTTCAGAGATACATCGTATAGTGTCCATATTTTCGAAAGTTCCCTTGACATTAAATGTGTAACTTTTTTTAATCTTTTTTTTTAAATCAGGACTACCTAGATTCTGCTTGTCATCCAAGTATTGATCAAATGTGAGTCAAACTGAGTAGCAACTATCTACAAGTTAGCAGCTAACTATATAAAAGTAGTAAATGGGCATTTTTACTTTTTGATTCTGTGTATATGCACATTATATACATTATTTTCTCACAAAGATAAAAGCACTCTGTATTTTCCACTTTTGTTAATTAAATGCTCTACTACAGTATTTTTAATCTATAATACCATTTCAAAATATAAGGGTAAAAATAGAGCAGTACATTTTATAATGTTAATGAAGGGTTTTACAACCCTGGTTACTTCTGAAAGCTGTTACCTCAGCTTAGAGCAATTCTCTTGTTATTCAGTACTTCCATATGACTTTGTTAGTATAAGGTCTATTTTTTGGAGGATTAGATAAAAAATAGCTTTATATTTTTAAACATGGCATCACTGCTTTATAACTGCTCTAAAGAAAAGGTTGGTATTGAACTTGTCAGCTCCTGGGTATTCACATTCCAGGAGTTCTTTGGGGGTTTCTTATGTTGAAAGACAGAAGTAAATGAATAAAGGATGTTTAGAGTGTTAAGTATATTTATTTTTTTACATTAAACCCGTGCAAAATATCTAAATAGTTTCCTTATACTGCTGTGGAAACAGTGAATCAAAAGTCATTCATAATTAGTCAACAAGCAACTTTGAAAATTACAAATTATCTTGCATTCTCAAGCGTGTTGATAGTTTCACAGTACAGTGCTTTTTTGCATGGTTTCTGCTTTAAATATGCATCCCAATATGTTGCTTCACATCAGAAAGTTAGATAAACTTCAATTAAAGCATTTATTCAAAAAATAGGGAATTGTTATGAATATTCATTGAAATTATAGGTGAAGAAATTGTTTATATTCAGTTGTCTTTTTTATACTAAGCTTAAATCAAGATACATTGCTGTCTTCTCTTATCTCATTGCTGTCTTCTGATAAGGTGGCAGTTAGGGTTGTTTTTGTTTGTTTTTTTAAGAAAAAAACATCTTCTGCACTTCAAAAGAGCATCTTCTTGCTAGATAACCTTTTGTCAGAGCAGC